AGTTTCATTTTTTTTAGTAAAAACTAAAATTGTATGTAAAGTCCAACCACGTTTTCCAAAGAAATCTTTTTTTGTTTTACATGCAGATTTAGGTAGTATACGTATTTTATAGTCTGCAATAAAAAGCGCACTGTCAGAATTGAGCTCAGCTAATACTGCTTTATATAGGCATTCAAGTATACTTTTCGTGTTTGATGTAAAAGTTAATATAATAATTTTTCTTTGTACTCTGTGATTTGTAGATAAATATTTGAAGGTACTGATTCATATATCAAATCCAGAAAGTCAAACAATTGATCGCAATTGGGGCATCGCATTTCATGGCTGTTGATACATTCACCAAACGCATAAGGCAAGCAGTGAGAAATACATGAATCATGCTCGATTTTATTATCTGCTCTGACTGTCAATTCTTTTTCATAACCTTGTTTCATATGTTGTTTAAGCTTTTCAAGATGTTCTAAAATTTTAGACTAATAAAACTGTTTAATAAGGTAATTACATATTAGAATAAACATTATTACAGTATTTTCATTAAAAATAATATATTAACCATCCATATTATTTTCTTTTATAAAATTATTTCATATAATGTTTGCAAATTCTTCAAAGATTTCATATCCATAATCATTGCAGATTATGCATAGCCTACTGAGGTCTTCACAGTATTTAAGGTTTGTAGAATTGTTTAGTCGTGTCATGAAAGTAGTCCTTTTCATACCATTTGGATAAGTTTCATTAGACTTATCCTATAAATTACTTTTTTGGTCATGTAAATATAGAACTGGCAATCCTGTTACCGAATCTACATGGTATGAGCTCATTGTAACATTTTCTCTATCTTGAAAAAATAACAAGAATTGTTCTTCTTGAATATTGGATAATCATTGAACAGTTCTTCTGGTTTTTTGCAGAGGTGATGCGCCTGCGCTATAAAGTCGAGCATGTTTTCTAGCTTTATTTATTGTTTCTGATCTAACCTAATAAACATAAGATGTTAAGTTACAATTAAAAACTATAAAAGATTCTCAAATCTGATTAATCCGAAACTGTTCAAATCCGGTTCCGTTCATTTCACTAACACCTATTTTATAGATATAACACTTCATCTATAATCAATTCATCGACATGTTTATTTTACAGACAATCAATTCCTAGACAAACTTATTTCGTAGACAATATTTCACTGACAGCTCATTTCACTGACATTATTATTATTAGAATTGGGTTTAAATTGGGGTTAGGAATTTATAAGAAATAAACTTGTTAGTCAAATGAGCTGTCAGTGAAATGAGTTGTCTATGAAATGAGCTTGTCTAGAAATTGGTTGTCTGAGAAAAGCACATGTCAGTGAATTAATTGTAGATAAAATGTTATGTCTATGAAATGGGTATTGGTGAAGTAATGCGTATCCGTCTAAATCTACGTCTTTGACATAAAAAATCAGAAATACATTAGATAGGAAACTTAGTGTTAGTAAGTTTCAGAGAATTTGGTACATCTAAGATTTCAAATTGTTTGGGATTTTGGAGATTTTGAGTTGATAAAAACTAAAACCTCTTAAATATTTCAGATTTTGAAATGAAAAAGGTTTTGCCAATATTATTACTTATGCCTAATTCTTTTTTGAGGACACAGTATTTAAATTTTAGGGCAATAATTAAAAGGATACGAATTTTACCGTCTGATCCATTTTTGTTTAAAATCATTGTATCTCTAAAGCTATCCCAAAACATTGTAACTTGCAGATTTAGTTGTGGGTCTGGTACTGGTACTGAAATTTTTTTATCTAATTGCATAATATCATTATTATGAAGGTTTTTTAATAATTCTCTGTTCACAGTAGGGTCTAATGCTTTGCTCCAAAATTCTATAGACGATTCTTTTTTTGAAACAGATGTTACATTAGTATATCTACAAGCAACAAACATTGCTTACTATGCTCGTAGCTCTTTTTCTTGAAAGTTATATTCAGATGAGTAAATGTTTTGTAGTATAAGCGGAAATTGAATAATGAAGCTATTTTGTTGATACCAATTATAAAAAAGGGTTTGCCAATTAATCATTGCACTGGAAATCTTGTGTGATATTATATGACGAGAAAATACTTTCTCTAGCTGTTGCTTATCTATCTAGTCACTAACTGTATATGTTGGTAATTCACTTTTCAATTTACTTAGACATTCTTGAACTAATAAACTTGTAATTCCAAAGAGGTATGACCCAGTATGTTTTTGGTAAATTTTTACTCTTTTCCAAATTTCGTCTGGGGTTTCTTCTATAATTCTTTTAATACAATCGGATTCTAAATAAATTTCTAAAGTACATTGATTTTCTTCAATTCTGAATATAAAAAGATGTTGTATGCTATGATAATACGTAGTGAATAAAGAAACAAATCCAGTACTAACCCCATAGAATCTATTTTCTTCTAGATCACTGATGCTTATTATTATTACAACAAGCTTTTCTATACGAATAAATATTGGAAAAAATATTATATTATTGATTAATTGTCAGATAATATTCTCATTTTGAATCTCATTATAGCCAAACCAGAGTATTCAGTTTTCATTTTAAGAAAAATTGTTTGGTAGCATTTGCTAATTGCAGTCAATGGACTCGATTCAATATTATTTGTTCCAATTCCATCACAGGTACACTGAAAACCTGCCTTTAGTGAATTATTATTATGAGGTACAATGGTGATAATGAAGTTTCTACTATTAAGTTCACATGCAATATGCATATATAAATGGTAAGGTACTACAAGATCCTTCATTTTAGTTTCGAATTCCATATGAATTGTTTCCCACCAAGTTTTGGCCCAAATTCTATAATGCAGATGTGATTCTATGATACCCACATATAAAATTTTTGAAGCAAACTGTCATTTTTTAGGCATTATTATTAATAGAGTTTTTTTTTCGAAGGTTAAATGTTCAAAAATGTTTAGGATTTACTTAAATG